TGTGGGCTACATCGCGATTACTTTTCGGTAATTTTGTGCGCCATAATGTTCTATATGCTTATAAATTAATTTATCGTTTTGTTATTCATTTATTTTAGCATTTTCGTAAATTTATTTTCTCTTACTCATTTACTGATGACGCTTTCTTATGCTGCTTTCTACTTTGTACCGCCTGCCGTACCGCATGCCATCAATTTGGATGTAACGGATGTTGGAATTTCAATTTTGTTGCGGCAGATTTGGTGAACTGCTCTTCGGAGGTAAGTGCGATTGTATTTTTGGAACAATTATTGGTAATATATAACATTATAATATAGAGGTCTGAGTTCTTAGGTCTTCGCTTGATTTTATACTTAAATAGAGATTCTATATGTTAAACCGCTACAGAACGGCTAAAAACTCTGATTCCAATTTTAAATAAACAACTCATAGTACGCAAAAGGCACATTCTTTATTGACTCTGTGAGAAATAGCTAGAAAAAGTCCATCGTATCTAAGTCGCATGTGCTGGATGGATAATCTCACTAGTTTTTTACAGCATAACAATGGGTTCTCTCTCAAACGACCGGAAGACCAGTCAACATTTCTTTTTACTGTTTTCTTTTTTAAATAAGAAATCATCATTTACTTTAGCTCAATTTCGATATGATTGATATATTATACTAATTCCATATGATCCCTGGACTGTACTTGATTAAAGAGACTTTATAAGATCAGTAAATGGAATCGAGCAGATCAAAAAAGAAGCTCGTGCATTTTCTCGGGCTCAAACTTTCGTATTAGAGTCTAGGTTACACGAACTGGATGAAGAAACCAGTGTTTTTAATGGCTATAACGCTTCCGTTAATGAAGCTGTTTTGATTTTGCAGCCAAAATTTGTATTATCATTAAAATTTCTCGAAGTCTAGTCAGCAATCCTTTTTAATTTTTTGAATAAGAAATCAACATTTCAACTTACTGAACTTGGATATAGTACGGTTCCCGGACTCTTTATCCGATTAAGAGACTTTATAAGCTCAGTAGTAATGGAAATCAAACTGGAGTAATAACTGAAACGAACCGAATTGGAGTAAAGTTGATACCATTCTTCCGTAGCTCAGTCTGAAAGGAATACGCTAGAACACTCGAACATCTGTATGCGCCAAACTTAGAAAACAATCGTTATCTTCAAGCTAAAAGCTAGTCTTAAGCTGAAGTTGCTAACTACTTGTAGTACACATCATGTTATATTTATGTTTATTTACAGTCTTATTGTTTTGTAAATGTTTACTATTTTCAAATTTTTATTGATCTAGATATTAACACCTACCGCACTTTGCTCGGAACGCGTCCGGCGCTGTAGCTTTGACACCTATAATAACACCGATTTCGTTGCATACTTTACGGCTACCGCAACAGCGACTGCACAGCAGCTCAACTTAACGAACAGCGTGTGGGCACCAAGCGAGGCTAATATGTGCATCAATCCAGCGGATTATAACAACACCATTGACTTCCCGAACGCCGACAACATCACATGTCACTTCGCATCGGAATTGCAAACGGATTGCATATACAGAAATGCCACCTTCTGGCTATTTGTGGTCTTCATGTGTCTCGGCACCATTGGTTTCAATGTGGTCAATTCGATATCGGATGCGATTTGCTTCGATATGCTTGGCGAATCGGGGGAGGGTAAATATGGTGCACAGCGTGTTTGGGGCACAATCGGTTATGGGCTTACTGGGCTGCTGGCCGGTATTGCGGTGAACCTTTGGACCACAGATGCGCTAAAAAGTTTCACACCTGCACTGATTGTGATGATGATCTTCAGCGGTTTCGATTTGCTAAGCGTTTCAAAGTTGAAACTTCCAAAACTCTCGTCATCAGAGTCCATATTCAAGGATGTCTGGAAATTGATGAGCCATCCAGCTATTACTGTATTCCTGGTATTCGCTACCATATCCGGCATAATCGATTCATTCATCATTTTTTACATGTTCTGGCATGTCGAAGAGGTGGCTGCCGAAACGGGCTTTATGTCGCAGATTAAGTTAATTGAAGGCTTTGTTGTTGCCGCCGAGTGCGTTGTTGGCGAAGTGCCATTCTATTACAGCGGCAAGATTATCAAAAAACTCGGCTACGTACATTGTATGACTCTGTGCTTCTTCTTTTACGCCTTGCGTCTCGCGTTAATCGGTTGGATACCAAACCCTTGGTACTTAGTTGGTGTGGAATTGTTTTTCTCAGGCAGCACCTATGCGTTGTGCTACACGTGTATTGTAGCTTACGCGTCAGCTGTGGCACCACCGGGAACTTCCGCCACCGTTCAGGGTCTAATGGCTGGCGTTGATGATGGTTTGGGGCTCTCCATTGGTTCGCTGGTGGGTGGTCTGGTCCTCAAACACTTCGGTGGTCGTCGTAGCTTCTACTACTTTGCAATATTCGCATTTGCGGCATGTGTGCTCCACATGTTGGTACGGCCGCGTTCACGCAAACGTCAATATCTGCCGAAGAGTGGCTATCAAGTGCCCAACGAGCAGATGACACTCGGTACTGTGGCTGTAGAGGGAGAAATTAAGGCGTGATCAAGCATAAGACTATGGAAATATATTACATTAGATTTGTTATTTGTGACGTTTGATAGTTGCACCTTTACAATTTTATTTGTATAGTTTTGAATTTGTATTATAATGACAATTTTATGTACAGTTGGATGGGTAAAATATGAAGTTGTTTATTTGTACATTTATATATAAATGCGATATCGTATAGGTAGATTTTATTAAAGAATTTTTGCAAAACTTCAATGGAGGTTAGGTTCTATTACAAAACAAAAAAAATTTGAATAGATTTCTTGCAAGCGACCGCACATTTCAATACTAATCTATTCATATTTGACCCGGATTGGTCCATTTAAATTGACTGAAGACCAAATCGATAAAATTATCCCAGCGGGCTTATAACAAATGTATGAGATTTGGATGGAACGTTGCTGAGTATTAAGCCTAACTGTGAGGGTGTTAATATAGATATGTATTAACATACGTGAAAATGTGTTGATTGGTCAGTTTGTAGCGCGGCTACATGCTATAGTGGTCCGATATCGGCAGTTTCAAAAAATTAGCAGCTTCTTAGCGAGAAAAGGACGTGTGCAAAATTTCAGATCGATATCTCAAAAACTAATTCGCATACAATGTGTACCAAAAGGGTTGACGTGATTTTGACAGCTGGTGACGGCCATATTTGTTTACGGATTTGTGCCAAATTTTGTCAGTGTGTTCAGTAAGGTTTGTCATTTCAATATATCACATTTCACTTCATCAACAAAGAAAGTTGTCGCTATTGGGGTAAGTCAAATCATCAAATCATAGTGTGGTCCAGGAAACACAATTGCTTCCCCAAAAAATTGGCCGTTTGGTGCGGATTGTGGTATGGCGGCATCATCGGGTCTAATTTCTTTCCAATTGAGGCAGGAAATGCCGTTACCATCAATAGCGAGCGTTATAACACGATTTTTATTGACTTTTTTTCGCCGGAATTTGATTAAAATCGAGCGGACGATCTCTATTTCCAACAACACGGTGCGCCGCCTCATGTTTCATGTCTGAACATGGACATATTGCGTGCAGTGTGTGGCAATTCGTTAATTTCAAGAAATGATCCAGATCCATCAAAACTTTACGTCAATGAAGCAGCAACGCGCGAGTAGCTCGAAGACAACATTCAGCGCACTTTATCCGAAATTCCAGCCGAAATGCTGCAGCGAGTCATCGAAGCTCGGCGTAAACGGTTAGGCATATACAAAAGAAGCCGTGTTGGCCATTTGACTCGACATTTTGATTAAATCATAAATGGCATAAAATTATATGCATAACAAAAAAAAAACAGAACTTATTGTGATCATATTTGAGTATTTTATTTAATTTTAACAACACATCGTTCTTGTTGGTATACCCTTTATATACAGATGGACAAACGGAAAAATAGGCGGACATGGTTAAGCGACTCAGTTCGTCACGTTGCTTATTTATATATACCATATATACCTATAAATATATTTTATAGGGTCTCCAACGTTTGCTTCTGGGTGTTAAAAACTTCGTGGCCAAGCTAAATACCTTGTTCAGAATATAAAATATTAATCACAAAAATCAATATAATATTGTATATTATTGAAAAAAATCAAAAAATTCCATGTTTATAATTAATAATAAAAAAAAAAGTTGTTTTGGAATTTCACATTTTTTCGTGCTTGCGTACTTCGCGTTCTGCCATTTAAAACTATAGCTGGCACAGAGGCATCATGTTCAATATTCTAGAGAAATAGTCAACAAACTTAGACATCCAAACGATTTATAATTTATCAATTTTTTATTCCGATTTAAAAAAAAAAAATAATGATTGCTGCTTAAACAACGCGATTGCCACTTGTATATAATTAAATATTTATATGTAGGTACTGCTGCAAGTACTTATCGCTTTACGAGAATGCATTATACAATACAAATAATTTTGCGCAAATATTTGTAGTCTTTTAAGCATATTGTTGAGAGCATATTCAAACGCTTAGGTGCGGTGCAACAAACATTTATTGGCAAGCCAAACATATTACAGATATACATACATATACTACATATATACACATTGCAGCTATGGGGGAGTACATGAAAATCACAAAAGCAAATTACTAAGGAATTTAACTACATAGAACTTAAGTGAAACATATGTACAAGCGAACTAAAAAAAACTTTGACGAACTTAGTAGTGCTGATATTGCTCCTCCTCGCCATGGTACTGGCCATCATCCTGTGGATTGCTTAAACGCTGCGCCTCGAGTTCGGCGCGCATGCGCGCATGTTCCGCCGCAATGCGCTCGAATTCGCTGAGATGTTTGTGTGTGGCATAAGCGACGGCCTCGGTGTTGCGCGGCCCAGCAGCGTAGGCAGACTAATTTGCATTAAAATATGTGAATAAATAAAAATTTGTAAATAATTGAAAATAAAATTTAATTAGGCAGCAATTCGTGCCTGCTGATGACATTGCAAAACAATGCTAAGGCCTGTCATACAAGCACGACTTGCAGCGCTTCGCAATTGATAGCGGCGTGCAACACTTACATTTGGAGCGCCGTTCACCCCCTCGGCAGCATGTTCTTGCGCAATGCGATTGTAGAGCGCAAAATGCTTACGCTTCGCCTGCTTCACCGCCTCGGTGTCCTCCTGTTCGTGACTCAATTGCGGATGGAAACCATGCTCATCGGCTACATATTGTACGGTGCGCAACTGATTCCTTGGATCCACATAGGAGAAGGCGCCACGTACCACACCCGTGCCATCGGAGACCTCGGTATGTTGGCGATCCACATGACCTGGCGCACGACCAGCCTGATAGCTGAAGACATATGGATTGGGTGGCCCTGGCTGTGGTGTTGTTGTGGTGTAGCCGCCCTGATGTAGTATATGCGAGACATCGGCGCGTGCGCAAACGAGCGAGACAGCAACGACGAACTTTTTTTTTGTTGTTTATTTTTCGTGCGAAATAAAGAAAAACAAAAATGAAAATGCAAATTAGTTTGTATGCGCATGCGTGGAATTGCAGTTATTTATATGCGATTGCTACGTGTTTTATGCAGGAATTTTTTGTTATTACGTTACAAGCGCCTCACCAATTTAATAAACAATTTCATTTTGGCGAACCCTAAATAGTTTTTTGTCTGTACAAAAGTTAAAGTTCACGTCGATTTTTAATAATTCTTTATGTAATTTGCGAAAATTTCTACTTTGACAACGCGTACGTTGGCTGGCTGAGTTGTGTACGTCTGCAAATGTTGTATGCTACTAAAAACTCGCCTTAATAAACACTCGCTTAAGCTTCAGCTAACAGCGACGAAAACACTCTAGCAAAACAAGTAAATGTAATACGAATTTTAGCATATTTTTTTGATATTAGAAAAACCGGTATTTTGTGTAGCTTTGCATTGATGTTGAACCACAGATTCACAACTTTTGAATGTTTTACTCATGTATCTTTGTATGTCCAACAAACAAACGTCACCAGCTTAGTAAAGCACCGTTGTGAAGCTTCGAAGCTGTAGCTATAGACATATTAACATTGATTGATTGAAGCTTTTGCTAAGCACGATGAGCCGTTTAAGCAGTATTATATGAGTACATGAGTTTTCAGGTTCGTCTCAGCGCTCTAAGTCAATGCGAAGATGCTGCGAAACTTGTTTTGTTCATTCAAAATTTTAATTTCACACTTTACAGATTACGTTCTAAAAATGCGATAATAAATATCGAATATTATGTTTTGTTCTTTCGGTATATTTATGCCGTGCAATCATTTAATAAATTTTATTGTTTTCGCACTTAAAAATATACAAAATATACAAATATAAAAAAATATGCATATAATTAACTCAGTATGAATGAGTCATTTGGGTGAGTGTTGTATTTGTAACAAAAACAATTAGATTATTAGAACTTTTTTTCTGGATCTTCTAAGAATTTTTGCAAACCATATTATGACGTCATACTGTTAACCCTTGAAAACTACGCATTCTATAATTTTATGATTTATTTGTTCAAGCAGAAAGCTCTTTGGCACACAAAGCAACTCAAAAAGTACTTAAGTCCGTCCCAAACTTCTAGCTCTAAAGCACATGTTTTTCTGAAGTACTAAAGCTTTTCAACTCTTACAGTTTTTAAGCACTGAAAGTTTACTGCGCAAAAGCTTGTAAATTAATAAAAAAAACTTAAGCTTTAAATATTCTAAAGTGTTAAAAGTTTTTCAAGCATTAAAGCTCTTCAGACACTTTTCAAGCGCTAAAGCTCTTCAAAAGTTAAAGCTCTGAAGGCAGCAAAACTTATAAATCATTAAAGCGCCAAAGCCACAAAACCTCTCGAAACACTAACTAAAGCACTTGAAGCACTAAAGCTCTTAAAGCACTAAGGTTCTTAAAGCACTAAAATTCCTGAAGTTCTTAAGCTCTAAAGACACAAAAGTTACTAAAGCACGAAAGCTACTAAATCACACAAGCTATTAAAGCACAAAAACTCTTAAATTAATAAAGCTATGGTGTCACAAAAGCTTTTAAACACTAAAACTCTAAAACATATAGGTGATAAAGCGGATAACTCATTGATAAGCCATTCACCTTATATATTAACGCCCAATAAAAGCATACTGATCATTTTAATATTTTAATAATTAAGAGCCCTGACTTCTGTAAGGCTGTAATTTAAAGTGCTGTATTATTTAATTGTCGTGAGTACTATATTTTAAGAGACACTCACATTCTCGGCCTCACTGCTCGATCTGAACAAATTTGTACTTCTAAAACTGATTACGAAGACAAAGTTTTGAATTTTTAGAGGTAATCACAACTAACTAACTAAAAAAAAATAAACTAAAAGTCAGTATTGAATTTATTTTTAATATTTTAATTTATAGTAAAAAATTTTGGTATCTTGGTCTTTCAGATCGCGAAAATGGTCAGATGAGTTAAGAAACTTAGTAGTTATTAGAGAAATCCAATTTCGCACACTCTAAGGTGGATTTTTTAACTAATTATTACTAACTTATCCTCTGAATGAGTAACGCTAACATTCTCTCAAACATATATTGGTCCATTCTTGGAGGTTCAGGTTAACAAAGATCTTATTTTTGGATCACTCAGCGCATTTTGGGCATAAGCATATAAAATAAATACAGATATAAATTGGTTATACCAGTCTATGTTTGCAAAAAACTGGATCTCTTGCAGAAAAATTCTCTTCTTACACTCCCTCCATTCAAATTTGATAGTCCCACGGTTTGGTCTCGCGCGGTTGCGCACAAAAATGGAAATGGAAATTGTATCGTTACGATCACTTTTAGTCACACAAGAGTACACTGGTATATTTTTAGTGGATTTGTACTTCTTCTGCAATTACAAAGATCTCTATGTTCTTTACGAAATAAACAAGAAAATCTTGTATGTAATTTTATCTGTTATATTGGCATCAACATTTTGTAACACTTGTAATATTAGTGAACATTTTGTAGAAGCCATAATATTTAGACAAGTGTAATTCAATACTGAGGTCAAGGTAATGCAAAGTAATCTTAAATACTCACGTGTTTTTTTAGCTAAACAGTAACAGGTTGTTCACCTTTCACACATAAGACGATAAAAGCGCTAAATTTGATGCTTAAAGGCACACACACATTAAGATTGTCGTTTATGTTTGTATTTTATCGGCTTAAAATCGTTACAACAACAACAAAACATAATTGTTTAATTATATTGAGATTACCTAAGATTTCATGACTTTCAATTACTTGAAGAAAAACGCTTGAGCTACCTCAAAAGATTTAAAGCGACATGCGAAGTTTTGGAGGTCTGTATCATCGTCTTTAGTTTTCCGACATACAAGTATACCAAACCGAAGTCACAACAATTTTTGAAACTTGAGAGCTTCCCCGTCCAATTGAGAAAAAAACACTCAATCTCCCAGCTATTGTCTAAAGTACCGAGAAATCACTTGTCCATGAGTAAACCTATTGTGATGATCCCAAACGTCTCTCTGTCAAGAATCTCTTGCAGAGCATAGTTCTATAAAGAAAAGTTTAATAAAAAGGAAGTCTCCTTTTTTTTTGGTTTGTGGAAAATACTGACTAACGGTTGGAATATACATCGAACTGTTCGAGTAAATTTTTATTGATACTACTTATACATTTAGAAGTCTGAAAATTAAGTTCTGAGTAGTAGAAACTTTTACTACAAGAACTGGCTGCAAATCCATTAGAAAATGCTCTTCTTTTTTTTTTGGAAAAAACTGAGCAGCTAGAAACACACTCCTATATAAAGTGTCTGTCATAAATAACGCAAAAGCTTTCCTAGTTAATACAGATTTATGTACTGTATGTATTTAAATCAATGAACACTACTGTATTTAATCGTTAAACATATAGGAAATATAAATAAACTATCAATATTTCTAATTAATTGGAATAATTTTTTATTTTTGCTAAGCGGTATAAAGGTTATCAGTTTCGGCAGAGAGATGCTGTGCAACTTTGTTCACCTATACATACATATATAAGCATTAGGGTGGTTCCAAAATAACAAGTGCGTATTTTTTTATACCCTGAACATTATATATTAATGTTGCCAAAGTTTGTAACATTCGAAAGGAAACTTCGGAGACCCTATAAAGTATAAAAATTATCAGTATGATGAGCTGATTCGATTTAGTCATGTCCGTTCGTACGTCCATCCATATATTTTTATACCTTTTATGATATTAGAACTGCACCTGTGAAGCATATTATAGCTTCGGTGCAGCCAATAAAAATCAAATCATATAGCTTGGAGATGGTAAAAATACTGAATTTGCATTTCTGTATGTAACTACCACGCTATTCATACTATTAATTATTATTTATTTATTTATTATTTATTTTTTATCAAACCATTATATTTAAGAACTACCCTAATGGCTTATAGTGAATAGATTTGTAATACAAAAGCATTTCAAAAGGTAATTGTACATTCCTATACAACAGTCCAACCTTAAATTGTATAGATACATACCTACATATATAAAGATATATCACATAGAAGCGTCTTTAAGCGCTCATAAGTCAACAAAGAATGTTCATAACTAGCAAATATTCGCCGAAGAGATGGGGGGTTTTCCTGAATTTACTTAATAATAAAAATCACACAAAAAATCGCCCATTGCGGATGAGCAAACGTTTTAGACAAAGCTCTATGACCATTCAATTCGTCCAGTTGCGCAAAACCGTCTGCGGTACTTGCATGCATTTCGAATATTTAATTTAAGTCAAATTGGCGTGTGTTCAGAACTGAGAAGTACTTGTGTCTATAGTCAGAAAATTAAACAGAATGTCGATACTTCAAGTGTGTTTATATGTGCTTTCGCTATATTTACTGCTGAACAGTGTGAATGGTGAGCAAAAAGTTTACATATAATGAATTACGAGTGCAAATTAGTAAACTATGTTAAATGTGTGCATATATAATTAATCACTAGTGTATTTTTAAAATATTAAATTAAAAATTTCTATTACAAATAATAATATAAAATTCTTATATCCGCCAACAGCCAATTGCGATGTGTATGGCTCGATACTGAAAAAGGGTGATATTAAGTCTGTGCCTGGTAAATGCAGTCAAATCGTCTGTAAAGGCGCCAGCTATGACGATTTCGAAGTTAAAACGTAAGAGTTATTAAAACGCATGATTTTTATATGCTCAACTATATGATGATTCAATATAACTATTTTAGCTGTCCCAACGCTTATGCACCCAAAAATTGTAATTTCGTACCGGCGGATCTGAGTAAACCCTATCCTCAATGCTGCCCACATTGGAAATGCTAGAGTAATTGTGTCTTAACTAAATAATTATTTATAAAATCGATAAGAGAAAATATTAAAGTTAAATTAAACATTTTAATATACCCTACACGAGTATTTATTTAAAAAGAGTGGTTTCAACGGTATAAAATGTTCTAGAGGCATAGCTGTCAAACCAGCTGTCAAGGAAAAGACATGTGTTTGACATTTCAGTTCAGTATACTTTGACAAGATACAATGCAAACCTTTTAACTGAAGTGACGTTAGAAAGTCACGAAAATTGTATTCCAAAGCTCGCGCTCTATGTCGTGAACTTAGATATATTTATAATTTTCCGACAAAACATCAGGATTAGAGTGCGTAAAATCCCAAAGAGACACTGCAGGTGCCTTTGTATGCAGAAAGGATAACTGCCTAGTGTGATTTGTATGCGAAAGTCACAATCAGTTTTTTTTTTTTAAACTGAAGATGAAGCCAACGTTTTATTCAATGATTGGGCCTACATATATATGGATCGCTACCTTTTGCTTCTCCAAGTCAAAATCAATCATCTATGTGTCAACTGGTCTCAAGAGGACGGTGGAACAAGCTAATGAATCCGTAACATTACTTTGACGAACTTTTTGTGATCGAATCTGTCCATTAGTCAACTTTGTCAACTGATTTTTGTGGGATACGTCACGTAAAGGATATGTATTGATAAGCTAGCTACGATTATCATTATGACCAAAATAAGATAAGTAATACTGAAAAAAGTTATACACAACAAATATATATTATTTTTTTTTGTTCATATTAATTAACACATACAGCTGTTCCATATAGAAAAAAAATATTATTTGAATTAGAGAGAGAAGTATTTTTAACAAAATAAAGAAAAGTCCAAAATTTTACGTTCGATACAATCTCCTAAGCGGTCTGAGTTCTTTCGTGATTAAATAATGTTCAAAATACAATATAATGTCGAGACCTCTAAAGTCCTTTGAATATTTTTTTGCAGTATTTCAAACTGACCGTGCATGATTTTCCATTTACTAAACATCAAATCAACGCAATACAATCAATTGTCAAAGTAAGGGTAATAGTTTAGACCTTTGGAGCACTCAGCGTCATGGAACAAAACAGAAATTTAACTATGTAACTCAGCAGATCATAGTTAAATTTTTCCACTCGCGCCATATTTTTTAGTGCAGTCGGAAGCTTTTTCAAAAATATACTTAGCATGAAGCGACTTAATAACTTAAAAAGCTATAAAAGGTCGACTAACGAGGCTAATGATATCTTCCCAAAAAATACTAGTTTATGTTAGTTTCGGAATAGCGGTGAATCTGGCACTATTATTTTTGTATGGAGCTTTAGCGAGAGAGGTTTGTATAGCCGGAAACTCAAATTAAATACTTTGGATTCCAACGATATATAATTTTGAAAAGACGGTGGTACTAAATACATAGTTCGTTGACAGTTGTAAATGAATGGATATCATTAACGAGATTATTCGGTTAAACCTCATTGTGTCATAATTTTGTAAGACATGTGATAAAGTTTAATAGAAAGTAAAGGAGGGGTTTTAGCTAGAAAGTGACAGCTTTTGTGTTGTTGTTGACCCGATTAACAGCTACTTATATACGCAAAATCTTTTTATAAAACCATTATCTAATTTTAGAAGCTAAAAGATAAAGCCTTAAATATTTTATTGGTTTTAAATCTAGATAAATATCGTAACTATAAAAACATATAATTGACCTGAGCTTTCTTACATAAATATAAATACATATGCTTTACATTTTACTCTCTCTTAAGCTACTTCCGACTCAAATCTGCTTCGCAACCAACTCGATCCAATCTTTATATGCTGTAATGCGTGTATAAATACCAGGGATACCCGGTCTTCCACAACCGATGCCAAACGATACTACACCCACCAAAACAAATTGTCCACGTGAATAGCCCACTAACGGACCACCAGAATCGCCCTGACAGCTATCACGTCCACCACGCACCGTACCGGCACACAACATTCCCTCGGTTACATGCACGATGTTAGCGTATGTGGTCTCGCAAGAGCGCTGCTCGAATTGTTGAAGTGTCACGAAGAGTAAACGTGGCGATCGCAAACGCGAACCGTCTGTAACTGCACCCCAACCGCTCACAAAGAATACCGTATGGGATGCAACTGTCATATCTGCACTTGAAGCCAACGGTATCGGTTGAATATTTACGCTAAATGATAGTGGATGTGTTAACGCCAACACTGCTATATCATCGCTTACACCGTTAGTTGGGTTAAATTGTGGATGTACAAAAATTCGTCGTACCAGCGATAATACGCCACCTCGTTCGTGCTCCGACGAACCGGCGCGCACGGCAAACAACTCCGGCATATCCCACAACTCGAAGCAGTGCGCGGCGCTCACTATAATCGTCGTGCTATAAATGGCGCCACCGCAGCGATGCGCACCTTCCTGCTGAATGGACACTTGATAGGGAAACTGTGCTATATTCGCCTCATAGCCGCCCATAATGCGTCCAACGACACTATTTAGCTGAATTGGAGACTGCTTCGTTGTTGCTATGTTCTGCTCAGCGGTGGAGAGCGTTGCAATGCACAACAGCAGTAATAGTTTTGGCTTGTATACGCTGTCGTTCATATTAGATGCTTGTTTTGATACTTGAGCCGGCTAATAATCGTGTCGCTTATATATATACTGTTCATATCCAAAAACAACTGTGTAAATAGCTTATCGCTGTGATTAGGCTAAAGTGTTTAAGCTTATCTATAGACGCTATGCGTCCGGCTTCCGCATTACAAATGTAGTACAATGAACTTGCTAAGTTTACATGACATTGGCCTCCAAACAGTTTGTTGTATCTTTACAACATAGAATCTTATATAGCTTAAGATAAATACGATAGATATTTAGATGCGATATAGAGATTTTGCCAAAACCACAATAACAAGATGCCGACGATGAATACTGCTCGAGTTGATCATAAAAATATATACATATTTATACAGCGTGTCGAAAATTTCAGCCCGAGTTTTATGTTGGGGTCAAAAATGAAGAGCTAGAGCCAAAAATGTATCCTTTTATATGCTAGAAGATTGTATCTGAAAACAATGCGATTATTTCACTTTATATATTTTTAACACTAAGAAGTTGCTCATTAGTCGGAACCGCCAATATCGCACCACTATAGTATAGGTAGCTCTATTTTACATTTTCAAATAATCATCTCGTCATAAATAAAATTTTATTGTCCTGTTTTCTTATCAGGCAATCATTTGCAACCTAAAGGCATTACAGCTGATACAGTAACTGAATTTATATTTAAACACTCAACTAGCGCTTTTGACATGCACATATGTAGGTATGGATACTAGAGTGAGTCAAAAAAATTTAATAATTGTTTTTCGCTTGGTACTCAGAAAAGTAAGTTCTTAGAGACCTCTAGGAAAGGCTCTCCAAGTATGATCTCTTAATTGTAACGAGAAAGTACTCCGTCTTATAGTTTTCTATTTTTTTTTTGCTTATTAACAGATAGAAAAATTCAAATTTATCTTCCAACTGCTTGAAAAAGCAATTGAAAGGAAATTGAATGCTCTTCAAAAAAGGTCCAAACGTTTTTTCGTAAACCTAACCATTAAAACAGATTAAGGTTGAAGTTTGACTATTTTAAGGCAAATTCAATATTTCCTTTTGAATTTTTCTCATACTTGGAGAGCCTTTCGTAGATTATTTTTTTGAGTACTAAGCGAAAAAATATATTCATTTTTTTAACCCACTCTAATGTATGCGTATATATGTATATGTTACAAAAAATAGATACTAAAGGCACCGAATTTAATCAAAATATTTTATATATATTTATAGTAGGGGAATAAAGCGGTGTTTTTTTATTACTTATTAAAATAAATTATAAGCACATTTTAAACATATATCAAATTTCAATGTTTCATTTCTTTTTATTATGTATGTACATACTTAAAATTAATTATTTAATCAAAATTATAATATGAAATGGACTTAGGGCTAGATTTCATACATACTTAAAGTTAACTTAAATTTGAAATTTTAAAAGGTAACTAATATACATAAATGAAATTTATCACACATATGTATGTACCTATAAAAAAATTAAAATTACGCGTTATAATAGTTGCTAGCATAGGTATACACATAATCATATTATTTACTTTTACGTCAACCTACTAACCTAAATTCTCAACTTGCATTACATTTCAAACATATAACATTTTCCTGCTAAAAAACAAAAGCAACTACGCTGCACTAAGTATTTTTCATATGCCTGAACTGTTAGTTCTTTTCTGCGTACCAATATTTTAAAGTCTTCTTAGTTCAGGCAACATGCACAGACCACAAAACATACCACTTATAAATAAACTAAAGCCGAACTTTTCAATATTAGATTTAAATAAATCAATATATAAACAAGAAATTGGCGTAGAAAGCTTCACGAACACATGCTTAATTTCTACAGCCACTCTCTTCTAATCATCTTTCCATTGCCGTCACTTGATCCTTCAGATAATCCATATGATTTACACTGTCAAGCATGATTTCATGCTGATAGTCGACATGTTGTAATATCAGCTGCATTTTATGCAAATTCTGACTACTATAATCGGATACAATGTCTACTTGTGTGAAGTTTTTTATGCTCTGACCCAAAATCTGAAAAATAAATAAAAAACATCCTTTTGTGCACTCTAAATTGATTTTAGTTTGCATGCTTACCTCATTTGACTTGGAACCGCGCACTATCTGGCGTGCGACGGAACCCAAATTGTTTACATTAACACCAACGCGATCGCAAAGTCGTTTCTTGCTATCGCTGAAGAGATGACGTGCTGAACTGCTCGATGCTGAGGCCATCTTTAAATAAGAAGATTTATTAAATAACATTAGTCTCAATAAGAAAAATGTACTTTTAAACTTATTGAAACTTTTCTGTTTTTGATTTTCAGATTGGAAAGCTTACTTTTATTACTAATAACTGCTCAATAAAGTAGATAACATTTATTTTTTAAGTATGATTGGTTGGAAAGGGAGGCGTAGGAGCACCTTACCGCACATTGTGCTCCATAAACCAGATTTTGTATAAAAACATTAACAACCTAACATTTGTATGAAATTATTTAATATTAAGCTTACCTTGAATCACTCCAAGTTGTTTTATAAAATTGGCAAAACTTTGTTTATTTCCTAAATTTTATTTTCTTTCTCAACACGTCAATCCAACAGCTGTTTCCTTGTCACTGTGTAGGGCGCCATCTCTTGGTCAATTTTCGGCAGAGCCAGATAGAAGAGGCAATTTATGATAGTTTTTTCTATGGCTCATTAAAATTTAAGGAATACACTGCAACCTGTGGTCTATTGTGCCTTTCAATAACTCGCACAATTGCTCGATAAATTTTATGTCAAATTCATTTAACACGACACTCCTCGTAGTGGTGGTTCTGAAGGGTTTAAACGAGATTTAACCTCACTAATTGTAACGTCTATATGAGCGCTTAAGGAATTGAAGCGAGTTCCAATAAAAACTGGATATATTTCAAAGCTACAATTGAAAATAGGCACCATAAAACCCATAGGTTTATGTATTGCTGGACAGATGGATGTCAAACCATTTGAAGGAACTATAAAGTACCTGTAATATTGCGAGGTCTCTTTGATCACGAGTTGAGAAATTGCAGGAAGTTCAAAGGAAACCAAAAACGGCAGTAATGGGTTTTCTACCAAATTTATATGAAAAAAATTAAAGCCTTGAGGTTCATCTTATATTTATTCACATATCTTTTATTACAATATAAAAATACACAGTTAATCACAAACGCATACAACTTTAATTCAAATACGGTCCACTATGCACAAAGCAGTGCTTCACGCTCGGCTTATAGCCTTGACAACGATTATTCCATGCGACCCAAGCGCTGAAGCCTTGAATGCGTCGTATATACTTTGCGCAAGCAACCGAAAATCGTATATCATCGCTCAGTAGTAAACGACAAGGCATGCGACACGAATTAGTGGATGGACGTCCATCTGCTGGTTTGCACCAGTAGCGATCGTTGATTTGAAACAGGCCCCAATCAACGGAGCCATCCACATTCGATGGATTTATAGCTTTCGTATTGAAGGAACTCTCACCCTCAACCAAACACATCCAATCGTCCAGTTCAAAAAAAGGCATACCCAGCCGATAGAGACGGCGTGCCAACGCACATTTGTTGTAAATTCGTGCTTGAATAAGGATACAAAAAGAGTTAAGAAGAAAAATCGAAGCGATTAATGCTGGTAGCTTCATTTTTACAAAGCAACAGTTATACAATCTACACTAGCTTAAAAATTTAATCTAACTGAATTTTAAATATTTCAGCTATTTACTTTTATATACTAGTAGTGCGTCCAGATCACTTGATTTTGAAAATCTACAAAAAATATACATACATATTTAATGTCTTCAGCGTCCACGCGCCATCCTCAATTTATTTCAGTTTAATAGGCCACCCTGTAGGAAATGTTTTGATTTCTTCTAATTAATAATAAATAATTTACAGTATTAATGTACTTTAATAATCGGTGATTCATTTTGAAAAATTCTTCAGGAGGACCTACGAAAAAAGGTGTCTGGAAGTGAGGAATATTTTTTTCTGCTTAAAATTACAGGTAATGATTAAAGGACTTGTCTAAATTTAGATTTTGAACAAAATAGCGGCTTTCCAAACAAATACATTTTTTGCGAAAGAATTTAGCCTTCAGAGTAGCTTAAAAATCGAAATTATTATCAAAGTTCTTATTCCTAAGATAATTAGCTGACAAATATATCTAAGAAGGCAGTATGAAAGTTTCAAGTCGATCCGTGCAACCGTTTCGGAGAAAAATTTCTTACCGATTCTGAAAACAGCGTTTGAAAGTTTTGGGAATCGATTACACATAGTTCAAAAACTCTGACAAATACGCTCGTATTTTCGAAACTTTTGCCATATCAATTTCGAATTTTTAGAGACTATTTTAAAATATACATATGTTATGTATTAGAAAAAAAATATTTTTTTGAAATTTGCAAATGAATATAACCCTTTAACTAACTGTAAAATACAAAAAACCGCTGAAAATGTTCAATAGGCCTCCGCATAAGCTTACCGTTATAACAATTTTCTTTACTATTAAAATATATAGAACTATATGATGACATTTTTCCTACAGGGCATTGACAAAAATTATCCAAAACAAAGAACCAATCAACATAATTAATTGATACTTGTATAAATCGTGGTGAATTCAATTGGAAATCTACTTATAGTACATTGATAAACTGAAGTTGGCGCGCAGCAGCTGCACATTTTCAGTTTCCACTAATATCCAAAGCTTCAGCGCCGAACGGTCGTTGTACTGCGCAGCGCTTCGTCACAATCTTATCGCTTAACGATTTTTCAAGAGCTTTGAAGCGTTCAAGTGTCACTTTTTAACAAAAATGAATTGCTTAATTTACATAACATTGGCCAAATGAAACTAGAACACGCGACGCGACAAAATTATACAGTTGCCTTCAACTCTTCAGCACGTGAGCGAAAATGTGCTCCTCAGAATATATGTATGTGTGTATGTTACAGCTAGCAGGCAGCAGCGAGCGTCGTGTGTCCATTAATCTAAGATGTGGAAGTTATTAAAAAAAATTTTTTTTTTTGCTTTTACTAAGTTGTAGTTAAAGTTTTACCCTTCTTTAAATTGTAAACAGTCGAGCTTAGTCAATTGTATTCCTTAGGTCAGAATGTTAAGATTTTTTTGGAGAAAAGGTTAAAGGTTCTAGTAATATAAAAATCTACCAATATTGCTAGCATACCTTATGCTTAGTAAAATATTCCCGTCTAATTATGCTAAAATATCACACATATTAACCGCTATACAAGGTAAAAAGTCAGTCATGTGGACCGAATACTTACCGAATCTTACGTTCCCACGACAATTGGTTCTACATATCAGAAGTGAATCCAGTTTTTTTATACATCAAAGACTGTTAAATCACTGTCATTCTCCATAACTATTTCAGAAATGTTTTATACCGCTACTATAACAGAACCTCACATACATCAGATATATTTGGTATAGGACATAGGTCAAATATACCGATTTCGCGCACTTTTTAAAAGAAGATTGCCACATACAAAATTTTCGTCTGAATTTTTTTAAGTGCAGTTTGTGTCATTTATTGTTAAGCAAAATAGGTTCGTGTTATTAAAAATAACGGTATATAGAAAATAGGCGTGGTCAATGTCTGATTTTGCAAATTTTAAACAGAAATAGGCGTAACCAAACAATTCCTACAGCTATTGTCACGCTACTGGTGACATCCTTTAGAAAATTATTGCACCTTTAGTGTTTTGAATATTACAGTTATATGTACTAGATAGGTGTGGTTATTCATTAAATTTACCAAATTACAAATTTATGTTTTCTTACAAGATTTCCAGTTTAAAAATATTCCCTTAATAAATCCAAATGCATCTATTTTTTTCCACTACAAGCAATCATTAATATTCGGCGAAGCTCCACCGCCACGACACTGTCTATTCCACACGGTCCAAGCGCCAAAACCTTGCTCTCTTTGTATTTGCAGCGCACAACGCAACGATGTACCTATATCATCTGTAGTCAACGAACGACATGGTATACCGCAAACATTTGATGTGCGACGTCCATCTTGAGGATCACACCAGAAGCGATCGTTTAGTTGAAAGAGACCCCAATCACGCGAACCATCCGAATTCAGTGGTCCAATGGCCGCTGTATTGTACGTACTCTCATATTGAGCAATGCACACCCAAGCGGGTATATCGCCACGTGGCACACCGAGACGCGACAGCTCACGAGCCAATGAGCAGCGATCGAATATCCTCGCAACGATACAGGAGAAAGTGTAGAACAAAATAAAACAGAAAATTTGGAACTTCATGGTTTGCGTTGTGTAAAATAAGTAACTCGTGTTAAAAATAGAATTAGGTGCATATTTATAGTAAATTGTAAGTGGTTAAAGCATATATAAAATATTTTTTTGGATAATAATAAGCATAATACAAATAGCACTCTTTTGGAAATAGAGGTATTGATTGAAAACAACTTTATAGAAAAGAAAACACTAAAAATACAAATACAAAGAAAATACTAAAACTTTACAAAATTAACTTAAAAAAAGTTTAGATATAATATGTATTATATTTTGGTATTTATTTCGAAAATAATCCAAAGTGATTGTTTAATAACTTTTATTATATAAAAATTCATTTAAAAAGCTGTTTTAAATAAGCGTCGCCTGCAACTAAATGTAGGTCATACTCATATCGAAGATATTAGCGCTTAAAAACAAAAATTGCATAACTCAAAATTAGTAAAAAGAGCCTTTTATAGTAAAATACATTGAAATATTTTTCTAAACCTTTCTGTATCATATATAATATTAACATTGGCTGCCAACTAAAACAAAATGCACATAAAAATTGCACCATAAGCGCAACTACCTACCTACGTCAAATTCAAATAATCAAATTTTATTAACTCGCCTTAAGCCTTTTTACTTTGTAAGCGCATATACTTAAAATAAATATAAATATCGTCAAACTACCCACCAACTAAATCATTTTCACACCTAAAACTGACTTATCGCAATGAAAATTCTGCTCGTCTCATTTTTGCTAGCAATCGCGCTCGGCAGCGTGGAGCCACGCATACTCGATAAATGTTCATTGACACGCGAACTGGCCGCATTGAGTATACCACGCGCCAATATACCGAATTGGGTGTGCATTGCACAATACGAAAGTAATTTCAACACTGCCGAATTGGGTCCACCAAATCCGGATGGTTCGCGCGATTGGGGTATATTCCATATAAACGATCGTTATTGGTGCAATACCGGTGATGGCCGACCGAGTGAAAATGTGTGTCAAGTATCCTGTCAATCACTCTATACGGACGATATAACGGCGGCTGTAACGTGTGCACGACAAATTATACGAACGCAAGGTTTCGCAGCGTGGAATACGTGGAATAATAATTGTGGGAGAGGAGCAAATGTACCGAGCATTGATGATTGTAATTGAAGTGATACGAGTGGTGTGTGTTGGAAATAAATTTATGATAAAAATATTTAATGTAATTTTGTTTTAAGCTTTGTTTTTATTAATACTATGTCAACATAAAAGGATGACCGAAAGCCGCTTTAATTGGTATATGTGATCTTGGGGAAGCTATATATCAGTACACAAATTTCGTCCTTTTTTTGGAACGAACTGACCAAATACTACTATAATACATGTACAAAGATATGTTGCAATATATATATTTTTTTTTGACCTGTGCTGAGAGAAAATTATAGCACTTATAAGTCCGCAATTTTAAATTAAACACATTTTGATCGTAGATATTATCAGATTTCGCTTCGTGTACCAACAAACCTTTGGGATCAAGGCAAATATCGACCAGATTTCATATATAAATATCCCACATTTTTGGAAACGTATCAGTTGTATGGACGGAAAAATGAAAAAAAATCGTTTCGTCTCCCTGATTCTGATCGTAATAGTAAACACAAGTGAGATCCATAAAACGAGCAGTGTCGACAAGATCTGACACACGGAAACTCGTTGCATGCTGTCATGTGCTCGATAGATTAAGGTTAATTTCTGGATACACCATCTAATCAACGCGAATCGATAAAAATAAACGATATTTTTACCTATTTTAATGCAAATCTTCCAAATAGACTCCTGAGTCAATACAAGCATGCATCTACATATACCATTTGGTCAAATTTGATCCGGACTGACAAAAAAATACACATTTTCACGTATGTTAATACATATCTATATTAACACCCTCAAGTTAGGCTTAATACCAGCAACGTTCCATCCAAATCTTCATACATTTGTTATAAGCCCCGGCTGGGATGAATTTTTATCGATTTGGTCTTCAGTCAATTTAAATGGACCAATCCGGGTCAAATATGAATAGATTGAGTATGTGAGAATGTGCGGTCGCTTGCAAGAAATCTATTCAAAATTTTTTTTTGTTTTGTAATAGAACCTAACCTCCATTGAAGTTTTGCAAAAAAAAAAATTCTTTAATAAAATCTACCTATACGATATCGCATTTATATATAAATGTACAAATAAACAACTTCATATTTTTACCCAATCCAACTGTACATAAAATTGTCATTATAATACATAATTCAAAAACTATACAAATAAAATTGTAAAGGTGCAACTATCAAACGTCACAAATAACAAATCTAATGTAATATATTTCCATAGTCTTATGCTTGATCACGCCTTAATTTCTCCCTCTACAGCCACAGTACCGAGTGTCATCTGCTCGTTGGGCACTTGATAGCCACTCTTCGGCAGATATTGACGTTTGCGTGAACGCGGCCGTACCAACATGTGGAGCACACATGCCGCAAATGCGAATATTGCAAAGTAGTAGAAGCTACGACGACCACCGAAGTGTTTGAGGACCAGACCACCCACCAGCGAAAGAGAGAGATCTATTTCATTAAGTCGATTTATTCTGTTCATATCAGTAATTTGTTCGACTCGCCGCACTCTGGTCAATCTATTTTAATTACAGCACTTTTGTGTTCGATTCACAACTCTTTATGCCTTGGCGAATCGAAAGCAGCCATAATTTAGCACTCATTCAGAACTCAATTATGTCTCAACTTTGAAGATAATCAGCACACTCTCTCATTAATGTTGCTGGTAAATTACATGTCTGGAAGACTACGGTCAGTGTATGATGTGAAAAATACCTTAATTGCCAC